ATGCATGCATGCATACATACACACACATACATACATACATACATACATACAACTTAGCTTAATCCCTGTTTGGGTCCCCAAGCCATGGATTATGGCCCTTAGTACGGGTACTTGGGACCCAAAACCTAGGGTTACAAACAGTAAGGGTACAAACTTAAAAGTCTTTGACCTAATGATAAGTCTCGAGAGTTTCTCTGGCAACCTCACCCCACGCCAAGATGTGGCCACCCGCTTCGAATGGACAGCAATGCTTTATAGAGCTCCAGTGGGAATGTACCTTACCTAGACCCTGCACATCTCCATACATCCCTAGCCTTGCACTACCTGTATATAGTTCTTGCTAAACAGCCACACCCTGAGAGAGAGGGAAGTCCTTCCACTGGGTGTTGTTGAGCCAATCGAAGTTCTTCTCGCTTTGCTGCTTCGGCGTGGCCTGCGCTGGAGATAACCTTCTCCAAAACGCACACGGGGTCCCGTAAATGCTTTACAAGCACCTTTTTTTGCAGAGGACCCATTTTCAGACATGATCTAAACAACGCCTAATCCTGAATCGTAAGCCCCAAATGCTAACTCTAAATCTTAAAGAAACCCTAGAAGCCTACCCTTAAATCCTGCCTCAACCGCCACAATACGAGACCGATCCTGTACGCTTGGGCTTAAAATCTAGACTCTAAATCCTGAACCAGAAGTAAGGAGCCCCAAATAGCGACCCCCCCAAAGACTATAAGCGTTATTCTAGAGAATTCCGCAAGAGGGACCCCGAGTCTCCGGAAGCCCCGCAATCCCCACCTTGAAGTCAAGGCCTTAACCATGTTTCAAGCTTGTATGAGGGGTTAGGGTTAAACTCAAAACCGTCAACCGCGTGGATTTGGGGTTCTAGGGTCTGGGGGTGAAATCTCCAGAGCTTTCCTTGAGGGCACCAAGGGAGTCAGTGTCTGGAAAGATGAGGCATTAGGCATTAGGGCTTCAAAAGTCGCTGCCCCGTGCAGCATCTGACAATTTTCCCGGCTCGTGTGGATAGCGACATTTTTCTGCCTATATACTTTCATGAAAGACTACGAGCACCTCCCTCGAACCTCTCTGCCCTTCTACCTACGAAGCCAAATTCAGTCCCAAGCCATTCGGCGCCCTTCGAGGACTCTGATTCGAAGCGTCAAGCTAAACAAAATTTAGCCTGCCAGCCGCTGCAGTATTTGGGCTGGTGAGTCACGAAATCTTACTGAGGCTTTCAACGCCGGCATGGCGCAGTTTAGGGCAGGAAAATACTCGAGTCTAGGGGTTCAGGGTCTAGGGCCTAAACCGAAAAAACCCTATTAAATAGCCCTAAACCGTGTCCCCTGCGTGCCGTCGCTGGCGTGGCAATGGGCCGAGCGGAGGGGTTTGTCTTGACGATGCAGACCTCAAGTGGCTACCTATATAGTCCCCTTTAAGTAGATAGAATATGGGGTATATGGGGATCTTATTATAATATACCCAGAGCCATATTCTATCTACTTAAGGGGGACTATACTTCCTACAATGTTACTCACTGCCAAACGGCCTGTCGGGGTTAAAGGCCATGCATATGGGCACTTGGGAGCTTCAGTTAGGGTGCGGGGTCTCAGGCATAAGCAACTGTTGGAACCATCTGCAATCATCTCCCTAACAGAAAATCCCCCATGCCGCTTACTTTTGACACTGTTGTGGAGGGAGGGGGGGCGGGGGGTCGTCAGCCCCTAATCTGAAATATCGTAGTAGTTTCCATCTGCTTGTGTGCATCCCCTTATATTCCCCTACATACCCTTGTATACCCTTACTGTATATCCCCCTATGTATCCCTTCCCTGTGTATCCCCGTATCATCCTTGTAAGGGGTGGGTGGGAGAGGCAGGCGAGAAGGGTGAAAACACAATTGGGAGGGGGAGGAGACGAGTGGTTGTCAGAGTTGAAGCCACCTAAGAGGCAAGCCCTAAACCTTGGGTCCTTCCCCTCACAGTAACTGCTTTTGAAGGGGCTTCATTGATAAGGGGCTAATGTAACTCCTATTATGTCTTGTGGTAGCTGTTACTGTATAAGGGGGGAATGACCAAACCTAAATCCGTTTCAGTGAGCAGGTTCAGAGCCACACTTATCTGGGCAGTTTCTCTATATGATTGGTTTCCCAAGCGTAGGGGTACCTTTTTGGAGGCCCGTCTCATAAGGGCTGTAGTATGTTGAGGTCTATATTCGGGTCCCCTTATTAATGGAACACGACATTTGAGACCAAAAGAAGCCCTACGATCGAACCCTGTATATTTCTCTAATTGCCCTTCTATCTTTGTGGAAATGTATATGTATACATATATATATGTGTGTGTATATCTGGGTCTCCAAAGTACACTTTTGTTGCAGAGAGAACCCCCGCCTGACATGAGCTACTGTAGGGGCGACCTAAATAATCATAATTTCTAGTTTGAGATCCATTTGAGGCACCCTATACTGCAACCTGTACAAGGAATATGGAATCACAATATTGGTACTTATTTAAGCCCCAATATTGTAAATGAATGCTGCTCTTGGCCAGTGTCAAGCTACAAACTTCGGCTCCCGGATCATTGTTTATCGGATATTGCCCCCACCCAGCAATAAGTCTGTAACCCAAAAGTACAAGGATCCATTTAGGTATATAATATATACTCAGGGCCCAACAAGGCTCCGATATTTCTAGTTCACCGCCCAGAGTGTATACTAGAGAGATACTTGGACCCTTTGGGTAGATAAGGGTCATGTAAAGCGCTTCGTATATTCATATTTTGATTGTTATCNNTGAGTGGGGGCAGTATCCAACATATTTGCATTTTAGGTTCCATGCTTGGTCTTTGTAAGCCTCCGACAATGGCCCAGGTTGTGCAAGGGCTGGCACTTTGCCAGAGCTGGTTTCGGGCATATGCTATGATGCCATGCCCTTTTTTATGGGCATTTGTAGACCCTGCGTATAATCAGCAACAGAGAGCCTCATAAGCCTCCTATGATTGTTAGATTACCCTTTGGGTCCGAAGGCTCAAGACGACGGTGCGAAACCAGGTCTTCACCTCCCCTCAAAAAAACAAAAGAAGGTTGAGGATATCCAAGTAAGAACTTCGACTCTTTTCAAAACCATGCCGGAAACCGTTCTCTCAAGCCACATACACCCCTGTTGCTTCCAGCCTGCATCGCACACCCCTAAACCTTCAAGTCTGCAGACTAAACCCTACACCCAAGTTCCGAAGACCCACTAAACCCTAAACCCGGGCTTGCATCTGAAACTTGAAAAGTCCCCTAAGATCGAGCCACAATGTCCTTGCTCGTGTCGACTTGCAAGTCATGCCGAAACTCCAGAACCTCAACTCATGGTAGTTTCCCTAAATTACT